GAGAGAGACAGAGACAGAGAGAGAAAGAGACAGAGAGAGACAGAGGCAGAGAGAGACAGAGACAGAGAGAGAAAGAGACAGAGAGAGACAGAGGCTGAGAGAGACAGAGACAGAGAGAGAAAGAGACAGAGAGAGACAGAGGCAGAGAGAGAGACAGAGGAAGAGAGACACAGAGGCAGAGAGACACAGAGGCAGGGAGATAGAGGCAGAGAGTGAGTATGTGGCCGCTCCACAAAGCCTCCTTGGCTCCGCCCCTCCTTTCTTCATTTCTTGATGAAACACTTTCTTCCTAACCCCACACACATGCTCAGAGCATCTCTGCTGCCCAAAGGACCCCCCCAACATCCTTCAGCGCCAGGCTCGGTGCCCACCGGGTGCACGCAGGCCTTTTCCGCGGCCTTGGGGAAGCACGTGAATCCACACCCTCGGTGAATAGCTGTTCGCCGTCGTGAGGCATCACTTCCAGTTTGAAAGCCTTGTCCCTCCTGGAGGAAGGAATCAGGGGGCTTGTTGTGTTGGCCATGGGCGTGTGAGAGGTCCCTTGGTCTCTGCCACTAGCTGGGCACGTGGCTCTGGTGGCACTGGCCTGGACACCTCCCCGCCTCCAGTGGACACCTGACGCCATGCTGACCAGGCCCTGGGCTGAGTTGTTCCTTGACAACCCCCCACAGGTGACTGGTGCGCTTTTCTTTTTCCACTTCATCGTCCACTTGATTACAACGTCCCTGGACCCGGCCGAAGCGAGCATCCGCCTCAAGAACTACTCGGAGCCTCTGCTGATCTTCGACTCCTCCAAACATGTGCACGTGATCGAGAACCAGTATTGCCATCTGTGCCGGGTCCCCGTGTGAGTGCGTGGTGTGGGGCCCTGCGCCCAGGCCGTGGACTGCCGAATTTAGCTCTCCAGCCACAGTGGGGGCCTGCAGGGACTGGGCGTGGAGAGGTGGGGTGACTGCCCGAGGGCCCGCCTGTGTGTCCACGCAGCTGACGGGCACTGCTCCCTTGATCTAGGAGCAGAGGGAGCACGTCTTCCTTGGGTTTCTCAGATGAGTCCCCTGCCCTCACCAGATCAGAGCCGGGGGCTGCTCAGGGCCCCGGGGTCTCCACTGGCCCTAGGATGTCAGTGGGCGGCCTGGGACGGACGGAAGCCCAGTGGCTCCAGGCGGGACCCAAGCCCGGCCTCCAGGCCTCAGCCCCTGGCACCACGTGGCAGGCGTGGCCGAGGGAGGGCAGGAGCAACTGGGCGGAGGTCCTCTCCGCCCAGGGCTGCTGCCGTCTCTCTTCTCTCAGGCGGGCTAGGGCTCTGACCCTGTCCCACCTGCACAGACTGCTGACAGGCTGCTCCCCCCGAATTCTGCCTTCCAGAAGTAAGAAAGCCAAGCACTGCAGCACCTGTAACAAGTGCATCTCTGGCTTTGACCACCACTGCAAATGGCTGAATAACTGCGTGGGGACCAGGAACTACTGGTGAGGGGGAGGGGGAGGGGCGGTGGCAGGGGGCGGTGGGTGAGGTTGGGGCCACGTCCCAGCCTCCAGCACAGTGGGCTCAGCATCCCTCTGGTCTCCTCGTCTGGTTCTGGAACGTGTTTGGGTGGAGCTGTCCCTGGAAGTGCCACGTTAAGCCCATCCTCACAAAGTAAGTTGCTGGAGACCGCCATTAGCGTCGGCAAGGAGCCCGTCTGTGGGGGCACAGGCTGGGCTGATGAGTCCTTGACCCGCTGGCCTGGCAGCCTGCTCTCCCCCTGCCGAGGCTGTCAGGCCCCGAGTACAGAGGCTATGGGCCGGGGGCTGCGCCAGGAGTCAGTGTCCAGCCATGGGCAGGACGCGTCTCCTCCGCGAGCTCAGGGTGCAGGGCCTATGGGGTTCACCAGGGCCCCACATTCTGGAGCCAGGCTGTCAGCTCCGCCTGCTGTGAAGAGCTGTGCGTCACTGCGAAAACACAGCGAGCGCTCTCCCTGGTCCTCCACGCCAGACGTGGAAAGAGAAGCCCTCTGGGAGGGGGGCTGCCAAGCTGCTGTCCAGGCGGAGGGGGGAGAGGGCGCTACATTGCTCACCACACACAGCAGCAAGCGTGCAACGTGGATCTGCGTCACCCGGCAGGGAAGACCACATGAGAAATGCATGAAAAGAGGCCTTGCTGCTTTGAGCAAGAGGGAAATCCAGAGCTTTGATAATTAGAAAAGTCCAGTCAGAATTGCTAGTCTGGAAGGGACCTGGGACCCCCGGTCCCGCCGTCCCCCCTACAGAAGAGGAATCCCTGGAAGGTCAGAGGGCAGGGTGGAACCATGGTCCGCACGCCGGCACGCCCCCGCTCCCCGTGGATGCGCCTCCTTAGGGCCTCAGTGTGTCAAGCCGGCTGGTCACCTCTAGGTGCGGTCAGCGGTCCGGGGAGAGGCGAGGGCCGTCAGGGGACAGGCGAGGGTGTGTGACCCCACCCGCGATGAGGACGGAATGGGCCAGGCTCCACTGACAACAGGCTCCAGCAACAGAGCAGGCTGAGCTGGGGGTTCCCAGTGGGGCCGGGAAGACCCCTCAACAGCGCGTGGGCCCCAGGAGCCCTCCCTGCGTCCACCAGGCAGGGTTGGCAGGAGGGAGCGGTGCCTGACCCACAGCAGGGAGAGGTCTACTTTCCTCGGAAGGAGCCCACAAAAGGGAAGGGGCACTGCATGTGTAAAGGCACCCCCTCGTGTGGGTCGGGGCTCAGGGCGAGAGGAAAGGGCCACTGCCGGCCCATGTGCAGTGGGCAGACCGCCGGCATCCACCCCAGTTCCCTCCTGTCCCTGCATCCTTCAGGCAGAGAAAGCAAGGGCATTTAGGGTATAATTTGGCCAAAACAGTTGACAAAGTCTGTAAAAGAGACCTTGAGAGAGAGGCCGCGCCTTGACAGCAGTGAGAAGAGGAGAAAGCGCAGGGCGGCGGAGGCACGGCGGATTAAAAGCTGGAGAGAGCTGGGAGCCCACAGACACTTGGATCAAGGAAGGGAGCCGCTCCCTGTGGACGCTGGAGAGGAGAGGACGGTGACAAGCTTGAACGTGTGGTTGGACCTCCTGCCCGGTGCTGGGGCCTCTCTCCAGGTGGGAGGGGAGTTCTGCCCAGACAGCAGGAGGGAGATGACCACGAGGGTCCAGTCCGGGGCCTCCCCATGTCCCCACGGCCACCTCCTGTGGGCGCCCTCGAGGAGCCGCACTCACACAGGAGAGAGTCGGCCTACACAGGATCATCCAGAAGAGACGCCTCGGGAGGGATGCTGGGAGCCAAGACTCAGCTCCCCCAGGGCAGCTTCTCCCCGCAGGGCTGCGCGCGTCCGCCTGGCCCTCGAGAACGCTCACACTTCAGCCCTCCCCTAAAGATATGTGTAAAGAAACTTCAAGAAGTTCCAGAAAAGAAAAATGGAATCGACTAAATTTTACGTGAACAAAAGACATTGTTTAACATTGAAAATGTTAGTGGAATAGTTTCTTTTAAACATAACAGCAGAAAGACTAAGGGAAGATGTTTTAGTGAAAGCGTATTCCAAGAATTGCTGCCTAGAATTTAGGTTTTTGGCGGGCAGATCACTCTCTGTGTGTTCAGAGTGCACACAGGGGCGCAGGAGAGACTCTGGTCTGGCACGGAAGCACGCGACATCATTTCTGGCACAAACACGCGCGTGGGGCTTCGGAGGGTGTACCCTCTGCAGGCAGGATGGTCACGCTTCCTCGGGCCTTGAGATCAGCCGCGGCGAGCTCGCGTGCTGTCCTGGCATCTATCGCCGCACACCCCCGGCCTCCCCCCTCCCGCGTCAGTGCCCTTGATGGCAGGACGGCACCGTGGAGCACCCCCCACCTGTTCACACGCCCATTCTGTTCAACTGCGACAGTTACGAACCCTGACTTGAGGCTGAGAGCCCGTAAGGGCTCATTTTCCGCCATTCCAGGGCTTGGATGGGACCCCGCGTGCCGTGGCTGGGAGGGAGCCCTGGTCGGAACTAGAGGGAGCCGGGAATCGCAGGCAGGCCCTGAGCTGCGGGCTGGGGACACGGTGGAGTCCTGCGGGCCCAGGCAGCTTGGGCAAGTCACACCCTGTCTCTGAGCCTCAGTTTCCCTATTGTGAGCTGGGGGTGGCTCCCCCTCCTCTTGCAGCCTCTTGCGAGAATCACATGAGGTGGTGGTGTCAGTTGTGAGGTGATACAAACCGTGGGTACCATCAGTGGTGGGCACAGATCAGCGACCTCACCAGGAGAGCTTGACAGAAACGCTCGAGGATGCAAACAGAAAGAGGTGCTGAGCTCTAGGATGCGACCGGGAGCAGGACTCGTGGTGCGGGGGGCAGCGGTCAGCAGGGATGCCTGCGCCACCTGGATGCACACGCGCTCGCCAACCGCGCTGTCCGGGGCTGCCCAGCTGGCTGGCTGGAGCCCATCTCTGCGTCTCCCGCAGGTTCTTCTTCGGCTCTGTGGCCTCCGCCTTGGCCGGCCTGCTCTGCCTGCTCGTCATCCTGCTGTATGTCTTCATCCAGTACTGCACCAACCCTGAGGAGCTCCGCACGGACCCCCACTACAGAGGTACGCTGCTGCTCGGGCGGGGGGTCACTGCCACTCGGGGTGACGCGAGTGTCCTAGCCGCGCCTTCCAGCCATCTGCCGGGTGAAAGTCTTCATCCCAGGTGGTGGGAAGCCCGGCTTGCCAGGCTGGGTGAGCAGTGCCGGCCGCAGCAGGAGGTGCCGTGGCGCTCTCCCCAGGCCGAGGGCAGCACCCAGGGTCCACACTTCAACTCAGCAGCTTCCCAAGTGCCCGGGAGGCAGGTTTGGGGCACAGAGGTGCTGGCGTGGCTGCTCGGAGGCCATGCTTCCAGGCAGCATCTGGCATCAGAGAGTGCGGTCTGCACTCTGTCCCCCACAGTTGGTCACAGTTGGGAGCAGGGTGGGGTGGGAGGGCAGGCTGTCTGGGGACAGGGCCTGGGGTGACGCGTGGCTGCAGGCTCTGCGGGCTCAACACAGCTCTCTGCTAAGCGGGTCAAGGAGCCCGGCCTTGGAACAGACGTCCACATCTAGCTAGAGGGAAGAGGGAGGGGCTGAAAGATACCCACCCCGGACCTGTGACTGTGCCCTTATTTGGAAAAAGGGTCCTTGCAAATGTGATTAAGGAGCTTGGGATAAGTTCACCCTGGATTATCCAGGGCCCTGAACCCAATGAGAGTGCCCTTAAAGGACACAGAAGAGGAGAGACACAGACACGGAGGAGGCCCTGTGACAGTGGAGGCAGAGACTGGAGTGACGAGGCCACCAGCCCAGGAAGGCCTGGAACCCCAGGAGCTGAAAGATTCAAGGACGGATCCTCCCCTGGAGCCTCTGGAGGGAACACGGCCCTGTGACACCCTCACTTCCAGCCTCCAGAACTGGGAGAGGATAAATTTCTGTTGTTTAAGCCACCTGGTCTATGGTCATTGGTCACAACGGCTCTGGACACTGAGGCAGGGGAGGCCTTGGGTGGAGCACCTCCTCGTGTCCGTCCGGAACGCTCTGGGACCTCAGCCCTCGGGATGCAGTGTGAGGCCGCCCGTCTCAATCCCAGGCATCTCTCCAGAGTGAACTGCGGCCCAGCCGGCAGGGCAGGAGAATGCAGGCCCTCTGTCACTCAGCCCAGAACATTCCAGGGACCCCCGGCCCTGTCACAGGCTCCAACATCTCAGGTGCTGACGCTGGTCTTCACAGAGGCCCAGCCCTGGCTCCAGAGCAGTTCAGACCATGCCCTCCTCTCGGGGAAGTGCGCAGCCAGCACAGCCTGGCGGGCGGTGACGGGGACGCGGTGGTGGGACTGAGGCCCCACGTCTCCCTTCTCCCGGAGCCTGTGCCAGAGTATGCGTCCCGCCGCCGTCCGACCTGAAGCCCCACTGCGCCTCGCCCGAGGAGGATCTCTCCTCCTCCTGGAGGGGGCACCGCACCCCACCCATCTCCACCCCCAGCACCTGGCACAGATGGGCCTTGTGGGATGGACCGTCTGACCTGCACCTGTTCCCAAATGTGACGGTGGACGGCAGGGGCTCAGTGAGACCAGGCAGCCGCTCCACAGGAAGAGCTGCCCGAGCTGTGTGCACAGCGGCCAGAGGCCTCCGCCCCGGCCCATCCTGACACTCTCCACACACGGCCTTACCCAGAGGGGCTGTCCAGTGCCCTGCAGCCTCCGGAACGGTCATCTTTCAAGGATGAGCTTCGTGAGTTCTACGTGGACGGCCCTGCAGCTCCTCCGTCCACTGCCAAGGGTTTGGCTGACTCCACGCCCTGGGACTTCTCAGCTGTTCCTGAAGCACCTTCTGAAATGCGGCTCGCGCCCAGTGAGCGGTAACCTCGACAAGCCCGAGGCCTGGGTGCATGCCCTCTTCTTTTGTAAGCGGTCATCCTCCCAACGATGGTCGGGTAACTGGGCCTTCACTTTTGTGGGCTGTGAGGAGCGGGAGGGGCAGGAGGAGCTGGGTGGCCACTGAGAGCCCACTGGCCTCAGTGACCTCAGTGCATGTGCAGAGGTGAAATGAGGCTGAGTTCTCCCTGCGACTGGCCGGTTCTGGAGCCACAGTGTGATTAGCTCCATGTGAATTCCTTGACTGTGGACTGAGGCAATTTCCTGGGTTGGCTGTTCCAGAAAATTCCACAAAGCTTCTTAATCACTAATTCCCTGGGATGCTTTGCTCTCATTGGTGGCAGTTCATCACGACACCAACAGCTAAGGGGACAAGTGTGGGGTCGGCCGCCCCATGGTCCAGCCCGGCCCCACGCACGCTGTGCTGCAGCCCCTGGGGGCACCAGACTCTGCCCTAGACGCTGCCCGCGGCCATGCACTATGACAAGGTGTGGCAGTCGCCTTTTGGGATGCCACATAAGGGCGCCTGGGTCAAACACATTTCTAGAATTTGTTTGGAGCAGACATTTCAACTGGAATTCCACTTTCACTGGCCTGCCTGCACAACCCTTCACCGTCTTTCCTACACTTAATTTTTGGAAGTGGTGTGGTTGTGAGCATCAGCAGCCCTTGGGGCATGGAGGACCATATCCTAGGACTGACCCAGGGTGGTGGCTGTAGCCTTCCAGTTCTATTTGAGAGTGGCTGGTTGGGCACGGAGAGGGCCCAGTGAGGCAGCGTGGGCCTGCGGGAAAGGGTGAGTGCTGGGGTCAGGCAGAAGGGTCAGGCTCTGCGACCCGGGGACTTAGTTATCTCTCCCAACCTCACCTTCCAGATCTATAAAGTGGGACCATAATACCCACCACAGTCAGGAGGGGCTCAGGTGAGGCACTTAGGTAAGGCAGGGCACACACCTAGGCGAGAAGGAGGTGGTTACCTGGGCAGGGAGGTGCTCACCTGGGTGAGGAGGAAGCACTCTCCTGGGCAGGGAGGTGCTCACCCGGGCAGGGAGGTGCTCATCTGGGTGC